ATTGTCACAGCCAATACAGCCTTCAGCAACTATCACCCTGTTCAGTCAGCAGCCATCCATTTTGAGACAAGACCCTCCCAGCAAAAAGATTGACTCACGGAAAGCTCAGATGATCACTAGCATTTTTAATAATAAAGTATTTTTTAATTAAGGTAAATACATTTTTTTGGGCATAATGTTATTGCATACTTAACAGACTACAGTATAGTGTAAACATGACTTTTATATGCACTGGGAAACCAAAAAATTTCTGTGACTTGCTTTATTGCAATATTTGCTTTATTGCAGTGGTCTGGAGCTAAACCTGCAATATCTCTGAGGTAAGCCTGTACATCCATTTCAATTATGTGCTTAGGGACAGGAAAATGATCACAGAATGAGATTGTAGACACACTGTACTCAGTGAAACAGATTTGGACCAAGATTCCATTTATTACCCAATCTCCAAAAGTTCCCATTGTAATAAGGGGCTATGACTATTTATTCTCTAAATGCCAGTAGCACTCCCCAATTTTTAAAGATAATTAATTATAAAAATCCATAACATTTCAGAGAGTGCTATTCCATGTCCATCAAAAACTACTAACCTAATATACTGATATCTTCCTTTGCCCAGTCAAACACTTTGTTTCATATTTGCTATGTATAAGACATAAGAACACTTTATTGATTTCTGTTAGAAATTAGATATTTTCTGATAATTAAAAGTAGATTAGACAAGGTCTATTTGGTGGGTTGATGCAGAAACATGCTTTTTGTTTTCTTTTCATTTTTGTTTTTCACATGCAATGAATGTTAAGATAAAATTTCTCAGTGGTATCTTCTCAAATATTAATATCACTCCTTAAGATACATAGTAACAGGGCTAAACAGATTTTAAAGTGAATAAATTCATGTTATTTTAGATATTTCAAATGCATTATCCAATAGCCCTTGAAAAGTGGCCTCAGGTCCCATGGGAGAAAGAGTGGCAGGATATTTATTGTGTATACCGATGAGGTAGTATGCATGCTTCCTTAAAGAAATCCAGGCTCTACTTGGATTGATGAGCTCTGGGAATCAGAGATCCAGATCATATCCACACACAGAATGAAAAAATCACAATTTTCCACTGGCAGCTGATATCAACTTTCTGCTCACTGTTTGTTTTTTCCCCTCTGGAGATATAAATCAAGTAATAATCTGGTTGGCTGCCCATTTATCTCATCCCTTAGAACTCTCTTAGTCATTACTACAAATCTTTGCCAACCAAGATCCCCTGCTGGCAATTGTGCATTGCTGGCTATTAAGGTAATTACATTTACATTTAAGAGTTAAATGCCACCACCTTGCATCTACTATTCTGAAATCCTGATATGCCCATTGACATCAGGGAGACCAGGTCCCTGACAACTCCTTCTACTGTCTATTATGGCCTATAGAGAATAGCCACCACTGAGTTTCACAAGGACTCCGAAGTTGCCCCTTACTATTGTAATCTCCATTGATCTAGTGAAGGAAATGTCTGGAAGACAGCTAATGAAATATAGTCAGTTAATGGGCTATGTGATATTATGTAATGCACGCATGCCAATACTAGCTTTCTGACCCCTGCTGAAAACTTCCCCAGATAGTTCCAGCATCTCCCTACCTCAATTACTAGAGACAATCGTCATGTCCACATTTTAAAGAACCATCAGCAACTCTGAGTATCTTCATCAAATTCTGAATCACGGAAGAGTGATCCCATATCAATAACTTCTCCCTTCTACAGTCTTATATTCCATGTCCCCTTGTCCAACATCCTCATAGTCCACTGTTAAGTATGTACTCCTAAATCCTACCTATGCATGGCAGACCTGGCAACTTTTACAATAAGTAAGCTATCTCTTCTTGTAGCAAAGACTGTTTTCTCACTCATGCTATGCTGAGACCTGACACTTCTTACTGGTCTGGATACAATAAACAAAGGCAGGGGGTTCTCTGGAGGGGGACACACATCTTTTTATAAAGTATAAGCCTCAGGTGAAATCTTCGCATCATTCCAGGGAAAGTGAAGCTGCTGTACTCTACCATAAGACAGAGGACTATTCTTCCATTTAAGAGTATTCAGGGGCATCTGGGGATTCAAGATTCTGACGTCATACTCACAGGTATCCCCACTGCCCTCTCAAAGTCCCACTTCTTGCCATCAGGCAGTGACTTTGGTATGGAAGGACTGTCATGGCTGAGGGTTCAGTTTCATTGCTGTCAGCCAACCCTATTATTAAATTCTGGGCATGATTTTCAACATACTCTTCCTTCTGGCTACAGAAGATGAGGGACTTCAAATGCTATCATGAAGGCCTTCTGAGGTTCACAGTATGCTCTGAATTGATGTAAGTCTCCTTCGTCAAGTCTTCATGGCAGATAACAAAAGCCACCCAAGTTCACAAACTTTATAATTATTATCCCTCATACTTTTCAAGTGTTAAAGTTGCTACATAAACTAATGCTTCTCCTTCAAGCTATACTTTATCCCAATCAACCACAGTAAAGATTCTCAATAACTACCACACTATAGCACGCCACGATAATCACTATCCCACTTACTATCAGCATCGTCATGTTTATTGCCATCTGTTAAGTCATCCACTATAAAATCTCATACTGAGAATCTGTTATCTAGAGCCACTTTCAGTAGCAACTGACTCAGTTGGGACTACCTCAATAGCAGATGCTGAGATAAAAATTTTGGTGTTGGTATTTTCCATGGGCAGTGATCTCAAGAACCATTAGTGACAAAGTGGGAAAAGCAGGATAAACTCCCACTCCACATTAGCTGAGGATTACCCATATCGGCATTAACTGTCTCACACTTCCTGGTTAAACCTGGATAAAAATGAGTAGCTTTGGAACTAACAGAAGAACAAAGAGGTCTTGATGCAGGATACTGGCAAGTGCAGGAAACTGTTCACAGTTGCTTTTGTGAAACCATATGAGCCAAGAGAGTTGGCAAGATTCATCATAAGCATCTGTGACAACATTTTATCAACACTTTTTTCACCTATTTTAATACTCTCTCTCCTTATTTCACATTGGGGAACACTGGTTTCCATCACAAAGATAGTTGGAAGGCTGAAGAAAGAAAAACTAAATGCTACTGAACATCTTTACATTATTGCATTGCAAATGAATTTAATTGAGAGACATTATATTTTACAAAATGCAAACATTTGTCACTTTTGCATTGTAAAATTGAGAAATTTTACAAAAATATGTTGTGTTTTCTTTAAAGTCTGTATCATATTCCTCAAAAGTAAATAATTTTCTTAGAAAATACCACACCATTCATTACATATTTATATTATAGTTCATATTCCTATTAAATTCATTTTTTAAAATTACCATCTTTGAGTATCAACTATGTCTTGGGCCAAGGCCAGATTGGGAACTGTCATTACTGTGGAAAGATTAATAATTTGGTGCCTGTTTAAATAAATATTTTAACTGCACTACTGATACCCTGCCCCCTGTGGCTGCCATTCTCTTCCACCAGCTTAAAGTGCAATAAAACAAAGTATGCCTGTGTTCCATTTTTTCCCTCTTTTTAAAAAACCATAAATAAGAATGAGGTCAAAACATACTTTCATCATTTGGAACAATATCATTTATCTTCTAATATTTCATACATATGCCAAACTTTGTAACTCTGTATTATCTAATCTTATAAGCTTGTGAATTAAATGAATCAAAATACTGCTTTCTCTCATCTGAAAAACAAAAATGTTACTGAAATATTGCATTACACAAGAGGTAATTATTATGAATGGATATATGGTTATATCATTTATGCTAAACTACAGTAAAAAAATTGTCAGTATTTATGATCATGATAGAATCTCATATTTAATTTTGTCTATAATACTGCCACTATAGTCTATAGAAAAAATTTTCATTGCTGCATTCTGTTATCCAACCAACATAAAAGTTAATCAAGAGAAACAACATTGCTTATAACCAGGACCTGCTACATAATTTGGGGGAGTGGGGAAGGATAGTGCAAAATGAAAATGTAGGATTTTTGTTAAAGAATTATTAAGAATTACAAGATGACAATACAGAACATTAAGCCAAGTGTGATGCCCTTCTAAGTGTGAGGCCATGTGCAAATCCACAGGCCACAAAGCTTTAATGTTGCAAAATATTGGAGGTGTTCTTCTGTTTTACAGCATAAGATTCCAATTTAATTCCATTGGTTTTAAGACCAAAATGTCATTCCTTAATAGGAATTCTCCTAAGATCTTATGCTTCAATCTCATTTTTTAACTTTAAAGACTATCAAAAAGAAATAAAAACTGGTGTGCTCACCTTCTCTAAACTTGAAAACCTGTGATACTTAGGTGGCTAGTCAAAGACATGATTGTCAAACTTGAAATATTTATGATAATTCTACAACAAATAACATATTTGTTTTAAATAAAAATAAACAAAAGGATCATTTTCCATGGTTAACAGACTTCTTTAGATATATATGTTTAAATAACTACAGTTTTGAAGAATTCGTTATTAAATATTTCCTATAATTATAAAGTTATTATAGTTGCAAATTGTGAGAGTAGAAGAGGAAGATGAATATAAGGAATCAGCTTAAAGGGCTATAATCATTAGAATTAATAATGAAAGGTTGGAAAGAAAGAAAGACACAGAAACATTGGATTTGGTATGATATGAAGGAAAATCATAAAAACAACAATGCAAATTTGATACATAGGATATGTTTTCCAGAAAAAATAAAAATGCTTATTTCTTTAGAAATACAGAAGATAAACATGCTCTGTAGGCTCTGTTTTAAAGCCTCCACAAAATTGCCGTTTTAAATGGTTTAGTTTAACTTTTGAAGAGAATTGATCAGATCCAAGCTTATAATATCAGATGCTTAACTAGCACAACACTAAACTTAAAAAGTAAAATCTATAAAAATTAGTTCTATAGCACAAATTCAATATACAAAAGTTCCAAAAAAAATCATTTTTACTTACAATTGACATTGATCACCTTTTATTCCTTTAGTTGTGCAGAAACATTTTCCTGTGTGCAGATGACAAATATTTGCATGGCCACTGCATGTACAAGCTGTAAGTCGAAACCAAAATGATATTGAATGTTGTACATCACAAACATGCACATCACATTTCAGGGAAGGTATTATTATTACTTTATTTTTATATTGTGCTATTTCCACTTGCCATCCAAAAACTAAAGTTACCATATGTCTTAAGTTATTTTTAATTAAAGGAAAGTAAATTCACTTATTTGAAAACTTTGTGAAGATCTTCAAAGTCTTTGTGAGTATCCTGAAGTCTGCTACAGATCCGAGTATTTCTATAATTCTTCTTGGGCCTCTTTCTACTTTTAATTTAGTACATCTACTTAATGAAATTAGTTTTAAAGAGTTAGAGCAAGAGCTTTAGAGTCAAACAGCTTAGCTTCAAATGTACATTGACAATCACTAAAAATGTGACCTTAAACAATTAACCTCTCTAGGTTAGTTTCACCTACAAAAAGAGAATAATAGGGCCAAGCCCGTGGCGCGCTTGGGAGAGTGCGGCACTGGGAGCGCTGCAGCGTTCCCGCCGGGGGTTCGGATCCTATATAGGGATGACCAGTGCGCTCACAGCGCTCAATGGCTGAGCGCGGTGTGGCCAGTCTCAAAAAAGACAAAAAGAAAAAAAAAAGAGAGAATAATAGTACTACCTCTCAGGACTGATGTGAGAACTAAATGAGACAATGTAATTTAAAATATCTAACACATATCAAGCACTCAATAAATGCAGCTATTACTTCTAATATTATGACTACTGCTAACAGTAACAAAAATATAGTTACAACTTGTGTAAAAAGGTATGTATATTTATTCACCCTACAATCATCCTTTCAAGCTTCTGAGATCATTCTCAATTGTATTGTTCAGAATACTAAATGAAACATTCCGTTGTATAAGAGTTACACATGATCAATTTGGTTCATATGAACTCAAGTCTCATTTTCTAACGTTGCATTCCTTACTTAATAAGCAGTGTTCCAATTATTTAGGACACAAACTCGAATCACATTTATTGCCCAACATCCAATCAATTTGTAGATTCCAATTTCTCATGCACCATGTCTCTTGTATCTGACCACTCGTTTTCATTCTGATAGCCACTATTCAAGTACTTTCATTCACTTTTTCTTTCTAACACCAATACAATCACCTATCGGATCCCTCCACTTTCAGTATTCAATCCATTGACACACATTAAAGACACAAAAATGATCATGTCACTAGCCCCTTCAAAAACCTTTAATGAGAACTGTGTTCTTACACACCACCAGCTGGCTAAAACATTCTATTAATAAAAATGAAATAATGTGGTCTTTTCCCGATTCACATCACACATTAATATAAGCTAATGAATCAAATTTTACCAAAGTTCAACTTGTTTATTATTTTTTTCTTAAAACACCAATAGCAACTCTAATATGTATACTAATGAATTAATAAATGCAAACAAATATAACCAAATAAACATTAACATTTCAACTGATTCCCCAAAATAAAATAGGTCTTGTATATCAAAGTGAAGTACCAGATCGATATGAATATTTTCAAAGGAACAGACTAGAACAATAGTTGGAGGCTCTCATCTAGGAATATTTGAACCAGATGGGGGTCAATATAAGAGTCAAAAAGAGTAAAAGGGAGATTTGGTTAGTATTATCAGAAAAAGCCATTTCAGTACTATGAATCCAGTCTTCTGCCTCCCAAGGGAGCGGTTGCCTGTCCTTTTACTTGATGGGAGTCACCTGGAATCTAGGTGGCATAAAAGAAGGGAGTCTGAATTATCAAGGTGTGAATAGCTGTGGCTATTGAACTGAGGTGGCAAGACAGATAAATAGGCTACTTTGGGGAAGTATTAGAACTTACACTGATGTCTAGAAAAAGAATGTATGTTTCCTCAAGCTAGCCTGGAGCTGCTTAAAATTCTGACCAAGAGGACTGCCTGGAAGCATCAGGGGGCTTCAACTAAAGGAGCTGAAGGAAACGTTGTCAATGCAGGAAGAAACTACGTGTCCTCTCATCATGAGAACTGCAAGTGGATAGGCCAAGCCTAAAAAGATCCCACACAGACAGCTGAATAAGTAGTTGTACAACTCTCGCATACAGAACCTTAACTTCAGATGACAACTATACTTCCCACATAAGACTGTGCAATTTTCTTCTGTCCCTTAGAAAGATCAAAAACAGGTACCAAGCCAGGAAAGGAGGAATACTCTAAGTATAGAAAAAGAGAGCATCCAGAATAGAGGAAGAAAGAAAATGTGGCTTTAAAGTAGGCTCAGAGTTTTGATTTTTATCTGAACTGGGCAATGTTAATTATTTAAGCATGTGTTTGCAATTTAAATTCTTTAGAGTTCCTTATATTAACTAAGAGTCTGGGATTTCATATAAGATCAAGGGAAAAATGTATCCCACTAAACACTTTTTAAAGAGACAATGACTGAGAAAAAATTATGTTTTGATTACACCCCACTAGTCTTGTTTGTGCATCATACCAATCACATATTTATTAGCAAAAAAATTCTGGAAAAAACAAAGCAAATGTTGCTTATTATTTTTGTGAAAGCAAAAGGTTACGGTGGTCATTTTAAATTGCACACATATTTTCTGTTTATAAAACTGTTAGTAATTTATACAACGCTAATGTAACCACATAACTTAAAAGTCAGAATCCTAATTCTACCACTTGTATCAGTCTATGTGCTGGTCCCTTAATCTATCTCACTGCCTTTCCCCTACCAGAAATAACTACAACCTAAATTTTGTGTTCATCAATTCCTTGTATTTAAAAACCAGCATACATATTGTATTAAAAACCAGCATATGTATTGTATTAAAAACCATAAATCACTTACAACATTTAACTTTCCATTAGCAAATGAAGTTAGCTGAAACAAATTCCAAAAAATAGTATCATACAATTAGCCCTGACCACAATGCAATGAAATCAAAAATTAATAACAAACAAATAAAATTTCACCAAAAAAAAACATACATCTGGATTTAAAAATAAAGCAAAACAAAACTCTGGGAGAGTGCTGGTCAGCAAGATGGCAGAACAGAACTTTCTAGTCCTCATCCCCTCACAGAAATATCAATTTGAAAGACTATCCATGCATGAAAATACCTTCACAAGAGCTAAAGGAATCCAGGCGAAAGAATGCAGCACTTGGTTGTAGCACAGAGACAAGAAAAAGCACATTGAAGAGGGTAGGAAAGTTAGTTTAACATTATCAACATCCTACCTCACCCCAAGCCCCGGCAGAAAAACACTGAGAGATACCCCCTAAGTGGGGAAAGGAGAGTGAAGTGAGCACTCAATTTTGCAGTGCACCCCAGCCCTGGGTCTGACCCAGTAAGACCAGTGTCAGGTCTGCCCCTATAACCCCAGACTCTAGGCTGGCCACCATAGTATCAGAGTCCAGGTCTGTCCAGAACCAGGTCAGCTCCCACAGGTTCCAAGCCTGCCCCAGTGCTAGGGAGCCATTGCAGCACTAGGCTTCAGAACAGATCCACATCCCCAGCCTTCAAACCCACCCTAGGCTACAGGAAAATCCCCATGGCCCCAGCCTCCAAACCTGTCCCAGGCCAAACTGGCAGCTGCAAAACCATCCTTCAAGCCCTCCCAGTGCCAGGGTGGCACCTGCAAACCCCAGTTCCAGGCCAGTCCCCACACCCCAGGCACCAAGCTAGCACCTATGGAACCAGGCTCCAAGCCAACCCCCATGAATACAAGCTCCAGACCCACCCAGCTGGCAACAAAATCATGGCCAGACCGTTCTAACTCAGGCTCCAGGCCTGCCCCAGTGCCAGGCTGCCCCTGTGGACTCAGGATCCAGACCCATCCCTATGGACCCGGGCACCAGACCATCCCAGCACCAGGCCTACCCGCACAGACTAAGGCTCTCGCTAACCCAGCACTGGAGTATCCCTATGGATCCAGGCTTCAGGCTGGCCACCACAGATGCGTACACTAGGATACAAAATATATAAAACATGTAAATTGTGACATCAACAACATAAAATGTGTGGGGAAGTAAAGCTAAAGTATAAAGTTTTAGTATGCAGTCATAGCTAAGTTGTGATCAGATTAAAATAGACAGTTATAAGTATAAAATGTTTCATGTAAGTCTTACGGTAACCACAAAGAAAAAACCTCTAGTAGATACATGAAAAATAAACAAAAAGAAATCACAGCCCACGACTACCAAAAAAAAAAAAAAAAATCATCAATCACAAAGAAAATCCCAGGACCAGATGGCTTCACAGGAGAATTATATCGAACACTGTAAAAATTAATACCAATCCTTCTCAAGCTCTTCCAAAAAATTGAAGAGGAAATACATCTAAACTCATTTTATGAAGCCAGCATTACCCTTACACGAAAGACAGAAAAAGATACTACAAGAGAATAAAAGTACAGGGCAATACCCCTTATGAACATAGATGCAATATTCTCAACAAAATACTAGCAAACCAAATTCAGCAGCACATCCTAAGGATCATTGACCATGGTCAAGTGAAATTTACTGCAGGGATGCAGAGATAATTCATCATGTGCAAATCAATAAGTGTGATACACCATATTAACAGAATATGAACAAAAACTGTATGATCATCTCAACAGATGCAGAAAAAGCATTTGACCAAATTCAACATCTTTCATGAAACACTTCGTCTTAGCCAAAAGACTGAGAACTGATTACATCCTTTCAGGATAAAAATTCTCAACAAACTAAGTGTAAAAGGAATGTTCCTCACAAATAAAGGCCATGTATGAAAAGCCCACAGCCAACACCATACACATCAGTGGCAAATTTAAAGCTTTTCCTCTAAGATAAGGAACGAGACAAGGATGCCCACTCTCACCACTTCTGTTCAACATAGTACTAGAGGTTCTAGCTAGAGCAACTGAACAAGAAAAAGAAATAAAAGGAATCAAAATAAGAAAAGAAGAAAGTTGTTTCTATTTGCCGATAACATGCTTGACATAGAAAACCCTAACACTCCACCAAAAAATTGTTAGACTGAT